TCACAAGCTATATTTGAAATGTCTGTAGGTGCTCTAAGTGGAAATGACTGTTAGACAATTGGAGGTAGGGACAGGCTGGAACCTAGGCCAGGAAACAAGACTAGACAGATGTACACTGGCATTATCTACTGTATGAGAGTTCTCCAGAAAAACAGAACCAATAGGTTAGATCAGCTGTGGGCAAACTACGGCCCGCGGGCCGGATCCGGCCGTTTGAAATGAATAAAACTAAAAAAAAAAAGACCGTACCCTTTTATGTAATGATGTCTACTTTGAATTTATATTAGTTCACACAGACACTCCATCCATGCTTTTGTTCCGGCCCTCCTGTCCAGTTTAAGAACCCATTGTGGCCCTCGAGTCAAAAAGTTTGCCCACCCCTGGTTAGATTCACGCAGGTGCGGGGAACCATTTTCAACTCACCCCTAATGCCTTGGCAGGGCCAGACCAAATGATTCTGAGGGCCTTCCTTATACAGCCCTTGGGCTGGACATTCCCTACCCCTGGAGAGAGCAAGAATGACTGATTTCACCCAGCCAGTGTGACTCAGTGGTTGGGCATCAACCCATGAACCAGGAGGTCCCCGTTCGATTTCCTGTTAAGGTACAAGCCAGGGTTGCGGGCTCGATCTCCAGTGGGGGGCATGTGGAAAGCAACCAATCCATGATTCTCATCATTGATGTTTCTCTCTTCCTCTCCCTTTCTAAAAACCAATAAAAACACTTTTTTTAAAAAGAATGAGACTGATTTATTTTAAAGACGAGCTTATACAATTGTAAGTCTGAAATTTGTAAAGCAGGTGGCAGGCTGGAAATTCAGAGAAGAGTTGTGTTGCATCCAAGATCTACAGGTTGGAACTTCGGGCAGTTTCTGTGTTACAGTTTTGATGCCTAATTCCTTTCTGGGAACCTTGTCTTTGCTCTTAAGGCCTTCAGCTGATTGGATGAGGCCCATTCACATTACAGAAAATAACTTGCTTTACTCAAAGTCTGAAAGATAGGTATTTCGCCTTCATCCTAGATTTTTGGCAAAGAGCTTCTAAGACCTTGGAATCTCCAGAGTGATAATTGTTTTTTGTATGCTAATGAGATGGCTCTCAGTGGGCCCCTAGATACTAGTAATAAGTGAAACAACAAATCAATGTGGTTTTTTTCTATCTTCTCTCTCTAAAATCAATTTTAAAAAGATAATTTTATATGAAAAGTATTTTCTTTATAAATATATTTTTTACAGAGAGGAAGGGAGAGGGATTGAGAGTTAGAAACATCGATGAGAGAGAAACATCGATTTAGCTGCCTCCTGCACATTCCCCACTGGGGATGTACCCACAACCAAGGTACATGCCCTTGACTGGAATCAAACCTGGGACCCTTTAGTCTGTAGGCCGACACTCTAGCCACTGAGCCAAACCAGTGAGGGTGAAAAGTGTTATCTTTTATAGACACTAGGCTCAGCATGTAAAGGGAAGGGTCACAGAAACCTTTTTGGAAAAAGAGAGGATAGGGAGGTGGGTAGAGATGATGTTCTATTCAGAAAGAAGCATGAACAGGCATGAAAACAAGAAACTGCAACCAGTCAGGCAGTTTGATATTACTAAAACAAAGGATGAGGCGGGTCAGCTCCAAGGACCTCATATACCATACTAAGGAGTCTGGACTTGACACTATAGGTCAGGGATTCTTTAACCTATTGTCTATGGTTGAGCGTTAGAGGCGATCTAAAGCCGGGGAATGCCATAATCAAATTTGTTCCAATAGATGTCTCTGATGGAAATGTGGCAAATTAATCTGATGAGGTCAAGACTGGAACCAAGACCACTAAAAACCTGCGAGAGTATAGGCATCATCCCAATATGCCAAGGTTGTGGGTTCGATCCCCGGTCAGAGCACATATAAGAGAAATGGCTAAGTGGAAAACAAATTGATATTTCTCCTTTCCTCTCTTAAAAAAGAAAAAAGGAATAAGCAAGAATTTATAAGTGTAGAATTGATTAAATGGATATCTAAATGGTAAAAATTAATAGTACCTGGTTTGGATTAGAGTGCAGGGAATTCTATATAATAAAAGCCTAATATGCAAATTGACCAAACAGTGAAATAACTGGTGAAACAACCAGTGGCTATGATGCACACTGACCACCAGGGGGCAGACGCTCAACACAGGAGCTGCCCCCAGGCCCGCCAAGATGGATGTGGGGAGGCGGGGGAAGGGCGGGGGGACATTACCCTGCCAGTTGCCCTGCAGAGGGAGGTGACCGGTGGCAGCAGCAGGGGGGCAGGGTTACACCAGGCCAGCCAAGGTGGGTGCCAGCACCCCCCACTCCCATCATCCTGCCAGTCACCCCATTGATCGCCCCTGATCGCCAGCCAGGCCTAGGGACTCTACCCATGCACAAATTTCGTGCATTGGGCCTCTAGTAGTCTAATAAGTCTCCCCCATATTTCTGACTTGGATGATAGTGTCATAAACTAAAATAGGGAGAAACCACAAGTAAGTCCTGGAGATGAGAAAAAATGCTATTAATTGTGGACCTGTCAAGTTAGAACTATAGGAAATTCAAGTGGATATATCAAGCAATTGGATGTACCTGAAACTCAAGTCGACCTGTAAGATACAGACTTGGAAGTCAGCAACAGGCATTAATGGCTGATACTGTGTGCTTACCATGTGCCAGACAGAATATTAAATATTCAATATGAATTATTTAATACTCTAATCTTTTAGGAATTATTTTTTGATCCCCATTTGACAAAGGTAAACTGGGGAGTTAAGAGTTAATAACTGGCCCTAGCGGGTTTGGCTCAGTGGATAGAGCCTCGACCTGCAGACTCAAGGGTCCCAGGTTCGATTCCGGTTCGATTCTGGTCAAGGCATGTACCTTGGCTGCGGGCACATCCCCAGTAGGGGGCGTGCAGGAGGCAGCTGATTGATGTTTCTTGCTCATTGATGTTTCTGACTCTATCCCTCTCCCTCTGTGTAAAAAAATCAATAAAATATTTTTTTAAAAAGAGTTAATAACTGGCCAATTACCAGATAGCTATAATGGTGGAGCCAAGATACCAGCACTGAGCACCTAACTACATTCTGTAATGTTAGAACCATTAATTACCTAGATTAACTGAGAAAAATACAAAATAAGAGCAATAGGCCAAGAACAAAATTTTGTAATACATTAGTGTTTAAAGTAGGCAGAGGAAATGAAAAGGAAAAATCAAAGTGGTAAAAGGGAACAAGATAGTGGTCCCTTCCTGCAGCCAAAGTAAAGCTTTAATGCCTCAGGAAACAGTAAGGGGAGGACTCCAATCATCAGTGTATGTGGCACAATGGAGGGGATGTCGACAGAATTTCAATGAAGTGGTGGAGGTGGAAGGAACTTCGTTTCCGAAGTGCTACCATGTGAGACTTCTCTTGAAATAATCTTCATAGTTTGTTCTGGTTGGGGGTGGAGGGCCTTAAGCAAGTTTATATACTGAGAAGAGATAACTAAAGGAGCAAGGAGTAGAATTAAGAAGGCTAAGGATGGAGGCAGAGACTGCAGGGAAGTTGTTTAGGGGACCAACTATGGGCATAGGCTGGACAGGAAAGAAGTTTAGGCCAATAAGGGACTGACAGATTGGAGTAAAATTAAAGGAGTCAAACAATTTGAAGTCTCCAAGTTCTAGAATAGAATGGAAATGAGAATGTAAGAAATCGCCTCAAAAAAGACTGATTTTGTACTATTTTGAAAGTGGCACAGGGGACAGCTGAGAGAATGGTGACCATAACTGTACATGTGAGAAAGCAGAAAAGGCAGTAGTCCTTGGTTAATACACCGAGAGGATGGGAGTAAAAGGGTTGAAAATGTAGGAAAGCTGGGTGGTTTGGGGTTTTTTTTATTGATTTTAGAGAGGAAGGGAGAAAGCAGCATTGATTTGTTGTTCCACTTATTTATGCATTGCATTCATTGGTTGATTCTTCTATGTGCCCTGATCAGAGATTGAACCCACAACCAGGAAGTATGGGACAACACTCTAACAAACTGAGCTACCTGGTCAGGGCTAAAGCTGTGTTTTTGTTGTTGTTAATGCTCACCCAATGATATTTTTCCATACATTTTTAGAGAGATGTGAGAGACACATCAACTGGTTGCTTCCTGCACGGGTCCCGACTGGGCTGGGGTTTGCAATCCAAGTACATGACCTTGACTGGGAATCAAACTCAAGACCCTTCTGTGCACAGGCTGATGCTCTAACCACCGAGCACACTGGCCAGGACTAAAGCTCAGTTTTTTTAATCATGGAAGAGGGCTTTTAGGTGGAAGGTTTAGGAGGGACAAAAGTCAGAGCAATATGCACAAAGAGCATGAAAAAGGAAAGGTGTCCAAGGAGGTTGGTATTTGGGGTGATCACCAAGGACATGAACTAGTAAATCTCAAAGCTCAAAATGGAATGGTGGTAACAATACCTCTCTTCATAGTTGGGTTTTACCTTGAATAGTTTTCTTTCAAATCCTCTTCACAGCTCTGTAATAAGACCTGCAGGTTTGATTTCCTGTATAGTGGAACAGTGAGAAATCGACCCTTATGCTAACACTACACCCAATGAACTTAAGGAGATGAACTGTATTACTATAGGCTGCCCAACAACCCTTCCTTTTGGGAATTGAGCCTCCTCCACTTAGAGCAATTTTGAGAGGACTGTTAAACAAGGGCCTCTGCCTTCCTTAAATGCTGGCCAGAGTATCCCATTACCTGGACACAGTAGTTGGTGCAGAAATGGTCACTGACCAAAGAGCTCTGGTCTTTAGTTGAATTTTCGGGGGATTTATACAGCTGCTAGGACAGTCATTTCTCTGAGGTCATGAAAGTTGATATACACTCCTAAAACTGTATAATACCCACTTCATGGGTATTAAGAGCTCAAGATTGTGGAAATCCAGTCTATGACTAGAAAACGGGTAGTTAAGAGCCCACCTCTGTGGTCCGTAGCCTATTTAAATAAACAAAAACACCAAGACACAGACACATGACAAAATATTTAATGTCTGTGCATGTGCCTCCTCCTGCCCCAATTCCTGTTACGATTTGATAGCCTCCTTGAACTGGCAGTTCCAGAGAAAACATGGACACTTATCCCCAGCAGGACTTGAAAACCATTAAGGCCCTGGTTCTCTTGATTTGGATGATTGTAGGTGAGCTCTTTCCACAGCATGCCTCAGGCCTCTGGTCAACGAAAAGAGCCCCAGTTCTACAGGACTCCTGAGGTCTTCTGTTCTTCTGCAGCCTGGCGCCGGGAGCTGCGCTGCTGGAAAAAGTGGTAGGCTCGAACACTGCAGAGGTAGCCCCCATACACAGTAAGCAGCATCATGGAGGTGGAGAAAGTCTTGTAGCCAATGTCAGCTAGTTGCTTGGCAGTTGGCATGTCGTCCCCTACAAAGAAAGACTGAATTTAGATACCAGGATAGGTCTCATGTGCCCAGCCCACTTCCCTGTTTAAAGCCATTCCATAACTTGTGCACCCTGCTTAGTCTGTCTACTCTACTGAATGGCCCCTACATGGATGCAGAGTTTTACAATGGAAGACAATGTTTGGGAATTCTAAGTTTCAAAAGGGCAAATAAAATCTACATGAGACACAGACACACAGCTGGAACCAGGTGAATCTGAATGACATCACAGCTAACACCTCACCCTCCATGTTTTTGGAAAGAAGTGACTGGTACGGACCACCCAGAAATGTTAACTGGTACATTAAGCATGCATCAGTTTTTCTGACTAACGGGCAATTAATGGAGGTAGCCAGGGATTAAACATTAGCAGTAAATTATTCTCTGTAGGAGATCAAATGGGAACCTTCTAGGCAATATCCAATTTATTTTCCCATAAAAACAATCTTACGGTGGTTAGGTTCCCAGGTTACACCTCAAGCATCTGTTTGAGCCATAATATTCCTGAAACAGTGCCAACCTTCCACAGCATTAATTCTAAGTTCCAAACACAACACAAAGCACCTATCCCAACGGCTAAAAAGAAACGGGAGTCCCCAGCAAATTGTTAACTCACATTTGCATGAGATAAATTACTTCTAATTTAACCATTCCCTGGATATTCTGAGCTAGAGAACAAGACAAAGTCTGGCATGGCAACCTCTCATCCTGAACAAAACGTTCCTCAGTTTGGGACTATGAATGTGTTCTTAAACTCCTCTTTGTTGAGGGAACTGGAATTAAAAGACTAGCTGAAATGAGTGAGAATATGTTTCTTAAAAGTCAGGAATTTGGAAGAAGAAAAGCTCAGGATTAGCTGGCTTAGGGAGTCAGGAGTAGGGTGAGGTATAAGTGCTTCCCCGAGTGAGTTCTAATGGCTAAACATTTCCTTAGAGCCAGTCCTTGAAGGTGGACCCCAAGCTGAGCTGAGGCATAGCTTCCTTGAATTATAATTCCAAGTGACTCTCAATAAGGTCAGAGGAAGAAAACCAAATGGCACAATCTCAAGATGAGGTTATCTGAGCTTCGAAAGGACCCCAAGCTGTGAGCCTGAAGAAAACACACACACAGAGAGAGCAGAATATTAAGAGACTTGCCGACCTTCAACCTCCCCCTTACTTCTTCTTTCCCCTCATATTCCCCATAACCCTGGCCAGATGCTAACCACTAGCCAAGAAACAAGATGGTACAACTTGGCTGAAAGAGTGACAGAAGACTTAATAGACATGATTTTGGTATCTAGAATCTCACTTCCTTCTCTTGTCTAATCCAACCTAAGATTGTTCCTATTTTCAAATTTTAAAAAACTCTTCACATACCTGAGCTAAGACAGGATGTAGAAAAGAAGACAGATGCGGAAGTTCAAAAAGATTAACTGAATGGATTAGGGCAAAGCTGAAAATATCTCCAAGTTAGGAAACTGTCCATTGGGACACTTAACAAATAAGAAGAAACAGATGTGTGCACCAGGGTGGTGGTCGCACTGTCAGTCAAGAAGATCATGAGCTGGGTTTTGGACACCTTAAAATTAAGACGCTCAGCACAATATTCAGGTGATGATGTCTACCAGGCAGATGGATATGCAAATCGGGACAGCTCCTGGGAGGTAACAAGTGACACCAAAGGAGGGGATAAGACCAGAGAGAGAAGCCAAGGAAACACCAGTTTGAAGAAGCAAAATCATTAGGGATAGAAAGTAGGTAGAACATGCCAGATATTTCTGGGGGGCTTTTTCATCTAACTATATCCCTCTTCCTACTTGAAAGTCTCTGCTGCATCAAGTAACTGCCACTGACGGAAGCGCGCTGCATTTTTCAGGTGCACTGGGCCAAAATGAAAATTGGGAACCACAACTGCAAAGTTATGTGCCTTGAAGGCTGGTCAGATGGGAATAGATGACTAGGTCACAGGTAAACCTCGGGTAAAATTTTTGTGCACTGAACTGGAAGTCATTAAGTAAAAAGCAAATTCTCAGCCAGGACCCCAGCAGGGCCAGGAACGCTGACCGCGCCCCCCCCCCCTCCCTCCCCAAGGTCAGAGCTACTAGAGTCGGAGCGCGGAGGGCCAAGAACCCCGCTGGAGTCAAGGTTTGGCAGGACCTACAGCTGCAAGGAGCTTGTTGAGCTGGACGCAGTGCAAATCGCCTCGTCCGCGGTGCAGGATACACCGGTGACGTCAAGGGCACGGAGGATGCGGTCAGCACAGGCCGGCCGAACTGGCGCGGCTGAGCTCGCCCCAGCAGACGGCGTACCTGGGTGTTGCCGCTCCCTCCCGTCCAACCGAGGCCTCCACTGGCCGCGTCTCGCCAGCACAGAGCGCGCAGCCTGACGCAGCACCTGACACTGTT